TGGAAATTGACCAATGTGCAACTGCACTATTTCTGGATCAAAGAAGAAATAAAGAAATTAAAGACTTCCTAAAATTCAATGAGGATGAAGACATACATAGCCAAACATATGGAACACTTTGAAAGCAGTGCTAAGAGGAAAGTTCATAGCACTAAATGTCCACATGAAAAAAACTGTAGAATAGTCACACTAGAGAATTAATAGCACAACTGAAACAATCTTATTTTATATATCAATCCTAGTTCCTCTTCTCTCCCAACATCCCATGCCCCCCCCCCAACAACACCTATCCCATCCCTCTTCTGCTGCATAGAAAGGGTGAGACCTTCCATGTGGATCATTAAAGTCTGTCACATCATTTGGGGCAGGGCCTGGGCCCTCTCCCATGTATCTAGGATGAGAGAATACCTCTCTACGTGGAGTGGGCTACCAATATCCATGTGTACACTAGGAATAAATGCTGTTCCACGACCAGAAGCCCCATAGACTGCCCAGGCCTTATAACTGACATCCACATTCAGGGGGCCTGTTAAAGGGGACATTATCACTATTCATACCAATAGTATGAAATCACATTGAAAAATCAGAATAGTCATTAAACATCAAGAGTCTATTGCTTGTGTTATGTCTATTTTTACACTTAACAGACTAGGTAGTTACTAAACATTTATTGAAAAAACATAGAAAAAAATTGTTTCAGGCTGTACAAAGTCAATCAAAAAAATCTTTGGAGAATGTGTGTTAAAGGGCACTGTTACTGGACATTTTCTTATAGTGAAAGAATTGTCAGTGGGCCATCATCCCAACATTCAAATTTTTGTAAAAGAAAATGTTTAGGGTACTGATTCTGAAAGTTAGCTAAATAGTGTAATGACAGAGTTTAAAAAGTATCCAGGCCTAACCAATATTGGTGGCATATGTTTGTAATCCCAGCACTTGGAGACTTAGTTAAGATGACTACCAGGTTAGGTCAGTCTAAGCTAAGTAGTGAGAGCTTATCTCAAAAAATCCATAAGAGTGCTGTGTTAGTTAAGGTTTTTATGGTTGTAAAGAGATAACATGACCACAGAAGCTCTTACAAAGAAAACAAAAGGAGATCAAGGGGATCCAAATTGGAAAGGAAGAAGTCAAACTGTCTCTATTTGCAGATGACATAATAGTTTCCATAAGCAACCCAATAAACTCTACCAGGGAACTCCTACAGCTGATAAACACCTTCAGAAAACTAGCAGGATACAAGATAAACTCAAAAAATCAGTAACCCTGCTTTATTCAGACGACAAACAGGCTGAGAAAGAAAACAGAGAAACATCACCCTTTAAAATAGCCACAAAAAATATAAAGTGTCTTGGGATAATGCTTACCAAACAAGTGAAATACCAATATAATAAGAACTTTGTGGCTCTAAAGAAAGAAATTAAAGAAGATACCAGAAAATGGAAAAATGGAAAGATCTCCTATGTTCTTGGATAGGTAGTATAAATATAGTAAAAATGGCAATCTTGCCAAAATCAATCTACGGATTCAATGCAATCCCTGTTAACATCCCAGCACAATTCTTTACTGACCTTGAAAGGATAATAATCAACTTTACATGGAAAAACAAAAGACCCAGGATAGCCAAATCAACCCTGTACAATAAAAGAACTTCAGGAGGCATCACCATCCCTGACTTTAAGCTCTGCTACCAAACTATAGGCCTGAAAACAGCCTGGTATTGGCACAAAAAATACACAGGTAGACCAATGGAATCAAATTGAAAATCCTGATATAAACCCACACACTCATGAACACCTGATTTTCAACAAAACAGCTGAAAGAATACAATGAGGCGAGGAAAGCATCTTCAACAAATGGTGCTGACACAATTGGATGATGGTGTGTAGAAGACTGCAGATAGACCTATGTCTGTCGCCATGCACAAAACTCAAGTCCAAATGGAACAAAGACCTCAACATCAATCCAGCCACGCTGAACCTCTTAGAAAAGAAAGTAGGAGGTGCCCTCAAACAAATTGGTATAGGAGACCACTTCTTGAATATAACTCCAGGGGCACAGACACTGAGATCAACAATTAATAAATGGGAACTTCTCAAACTCAGAAGCTTCTGTAAGGCAAAGGACACAGTGGACAAGGCAACACATCAGCCCACAGACTGGGAAAAGATTTTCCTACATCTGACAAAGGGCTGATCTCAAAATATACAAAGAACTTAAGAAACTAGTCAACAAAACACCAAATAACCCTATTAAAAAAATGAGGTACAGAACTGAAGAAAGAATTTTCAATAGAGGAAATCAAAAAGGCTGAAAGACACTTAAGAAAATGCTCCACATCCTTAGCTATCAGGGAACTGCAAATCAAAACACCTTTGAGATACCATCTTACACCTGCCAGAATGTCTAAAATTAGAAACACCAATGACAACTTATGCTGGAGAGGATTTGGAGAAAGGGAGCACTCCTCCACTTCTGGTGGGAGTACAAACTAGTACAGCCATTTTGGAGATCAGTATGGCAGTTCCTCAAGAAAATGGGAATTAGTTTACCACAGGACTCGGCAATCCCCCTCTTAGGCATATACCCAAATGATCCACATCCATGCAATGGAGACATCTGCTCAGCTATGTTCATAGCAGCATTATCTGTAATAGCCAGAACCTGGAAGCAACCTAGATGCCCTGCAACTGAATAATGGATAAAGATGTGGCACATCTACACAATGGAATACTACTCAGCAGGGAAAAAAAAAATAATGGAATCTTGAAATTCGCAGGCAAGTGGATGGCACTCGAAGAAACCATCCTGAATGAGGTAACCCAGTCACAAAAAGAGGAACACAGTATGTTCTCACTCATATATGGATTTTAGACCTAGAGAAAACGATCACCAGCCTATAATTCACATCACCAGAGGAACTAGGATACAAAGTATATTCTAAGAGATTCATATAAAGTCCCTCACAGAAGGGGGAAGGGACAAGTCCCCTAGAGCACTTCCCCCCCCCTAGGGGAAGTGGGGGGGGCAGTGAATGGAGAAAGAATAGGAGAAAGAGAAGGGGAGGAGAGGAAAACACGTGCAACTAGGAAGATTGAGTCAGAGTAGGAATAGAAGACAGGTGAGAGTGGGAGAGGGAGAGGGAGAGAGAGAACATAAAAGAGGGAGCCATTATTGGTTTGAAGAGAAAACTGAACCTAAAGAAAGGTCTAGAGACCTACAAGACTGCTGCCAACTAAGAATTTGAGCAACCGTGGTAAGGCTACCATAAATGCCCTTCCAGGACAGTGAGATCAACTAACTTATCCACCATCATGGGGCCCTCATCTAGTACCTGTTGGAAACAGAAGCAAACACCCATAACTAAACACTGAGTCGAACTTCAATCCAGATGCAGAGGGAGAGGACAAGACCAGGTTGCTGAAACACATAGAGACAGCTGACCTGATCAAGGAGGAGCTAACGGGCCACCAGACTGATAGCTGAGAATCCAGCATGGGACTGACTCAGACCCCCCTGAATATGGGTCTCAGCCAGAAGGACTGAGCAGTCTAAGGGACCTCAGACAGTGGATCCAGGATGTATTCCTGGTGCACAAAAGGACCTTGCGGAAACATCCCCCTTGGAGGGATAACTGCCTTAACCTAGAGACAGGAGAGAAGTCCTAGTCCCTACTTCAAATTACTTGACAGATTTACATGACCTCACCTGGATGTCATTGCCCTACATGTGGAATTGGGGTGGGGGCGGAGTGGGAGGGGAGGGTGTTCATTGTACATGTGAGGGGGCAGAGAGTGTAAGAGGGAGGGAGGCAGGGAAGGGAGGGAGGTAGGGAGGAGGAAGGGAGGGAAATGGAACTGTGATCGACATGTAAAATAAAAAATAAATTCATTAAAAAAAACCCATTTTATTGGAGCTGGCTTACAGTTTCACAGGTTTAGTCCATTGTTGTCATTGTGGAATGCATGGCAGTGTCCTGGCAGAAATGGCGCTGGAGGAGCTGAGGGCAAATACTCTGGGTCTGCAGGCAGAAGACTGTGTGCCACATAGTGGGTGCAGCTTGAGCATAAGAGACCTCAAAGCCCACCCCCATAGTGACATACTTCATCTAACAAGGCCACACTTACTCCATTAAAGCTACCTCTCCTGATAGTACCACTCACTATGGGCCAAGCATTCAGAGTCTATGGGGGTGATACCTATTCAAACCACAAATATCAATGTCTTTGTTACATCTCTAAATTATAGACTTGATTGGCCTACTAGACCTTGGTAATTCCAATGTGCTACATACAGCTTAAATACATTATCTTAGAGAATTTTTCTCACAAAGGCCAGTTCACCTGAAGAAATCCCCAAACCTTGCTGACAGCAAAATTAGTATTATTTTAAGTGCCTGAAAAATGGAGTTCCCTTGTTTGAAAAAATAAAAAATGGAAGTGGTTGTGATAATGTTTAAGTGAAAGCAAAAAATCTTCACAAACATCTTTTAAAATGCATACATAAGCCTGAAATGGTGGTATATATGTAGATTTATACCACTCATGAGTAAAAGGCAGAAGGATTATGAGTTTTAGATTAGAGTAGGGTACATAGTGAGACTTTTTCTCGGAAACCAACCCCGTTTGGCTCCCAGTAACTCAAACTCCAATAAACAGAAACAAACCTACTAGACTGTGTTTATACACATATAAATAGAGCATAAGTAAAAAAGATTATACACAATTGTACAATATTATTCATATTCTGATACTTAAAAATAAAGAAGTAATCCTAAACAACCAGCTCTTCAGCTAATACCCATAAGTACACATATAGACAGGGCACACTTTCTTTTAAAACAGTACCACAATCTCATTTACACGATACAAAACCAATAAAAAATAAAAAAATAATAAAAAATATTGTTTCTAATTAAAACATTTGGTTTCAGATTTTGTTAGGTATTCTTAGCTGAAATCAAGTAGCTTTAGCAGCCTTGCATAGAAAAAAAATAATATTTTGCCATCTCCTTATGTAAGCTCCTTCTACTGGAAACAATAATATTAAGACTTCATTTTAAGTAGAAATATTCTAATGTATAGCCACATTTGTTGAAGTTTTAAGTCAGTATCGCAAACTGTGAAGCTTTGTATTTCTTAAAGTCAGCATTGGTTGCTTGATTGTAGGTTTGTCACCAAAAAGTGCTGCTTCACTCTCAGTGGTTGGAAATCTTTTCTTATATATCAAGGGATATTCCTTCTGAAACTTAAAATGAGGAAGAATATTATTTCCCTTCAGGAAGCTCAAGTATTCTTTCGTCTGACTCTTGCTTCTCTCTTCATATTTGTTAAGGGGACACTGTAAGATCCTTTAGACACCAGTCAGTATTATAATTTTAGGATTTTTTTTTCTCACCCAACATGCAAATCTTTCTCATTGGTAAGCCTCTGCAGGCCACAGGGATTTGTTGCAGTTTGTATTTTTTCTCTCTTGAGTTTCTCAGGCTGTGTTCTTTCTAGAACTGAGCTTTAGTGCTGAACATTCTAAATAATGGCTGGGATGAGTCATTTAGAGATAGGTATTATAATTCACATTTTACATATACTTTCTTAGCTTAATTCAAAGTATAATATACAAAATACCATAAAAGAGAATCAATTAATATTATTGCAATTATTTTAAACTTAGATAAAGTAAAATCAAATAGATATTAATTTATATACTTTCAAATAGATATTAATTCATATACTTTAAGTATATAATGAAAAGCAACATATAATCTATATATTTAGGTTAAAATTTTATCCTAAAATGATTAGAAATAGCAATCATTGATTACACATCTGTAAGATGGAGAAGCTGCACGTTATCATACCTGACTCAGTTTTCTTCTTTTCTCCTTTAGAGACAAGCTTTTACTTTTAACAACATTCTCCAAAAGTTCTTCAATTGCAGCTTGAGAAGTTGAAATTTTCTGCTCATCAAATTCTTTAGTAGTAATCTGCTTACAGTAAGAATATGTTGGCAAAGGAACAACTTGTCCATCTCCAGGATTTTTAACCTATTGAACAAGACAGCAAAAATCTGTAAGTTCTAGTCAATGTTTCCTGTATAGAGCAGTTTTGATGGAATCTAGTATCTATCATTTTGGCCTCAATCAAACATTTGGTGTGTTAGGAAAGCTGAATATTATACATTGGAGGTAAGTGAGTGGTAAGTAAATCCTAGCACCACAGCCTATTATTATTTTGCAGTATCGAAATGACTTCTGGTCTGTTTCCTCACCATTAAAATGAAGATTGCTTGAGAAAATGTATATAAAAGCACTAATGGCTGCTATTATCCTAACTCTTAACTATTTATTTTATTATTTGAAGTATAAAACTTAGCAATATAAATGATGCTTTAATTCAGTTTAAAATACCATTATTTTCAGTTAGTAATGAAGCACTGATGCATTGTTTTTGAGCACCAGAGCACTAACAGAGTCCATATATTTATTGACAATGAAATTTAAGGTACAGTTATATTCATGGTAAGCCAGTACAATAATAATACACAAGAGAAAAAGTAAAAACAATGTGCTTACAGACAATGCCTGAATATGCTAGATATCTGCTGCTTAGTGGGTTTCATTTTCTTCTTTTTTCTAACAGTTTTTTCCCATTCTACTTATTCTAGCCTTCTTCTTTTTTAAAGAATGAATTCTGCTGTAACTATATAGAATGTATCAGAATAAGATTCTTTCCATCCAAGTTAACCTCAGATTTTAAAAAACTGGATATTTAACTTAGTGCGAGACAATCAAAAGTTCATACACAGGGACTGGGGGGAGATGGCTTAATGGGTAAAATATTTGCCAAGCAGGCATGAGGACTTGAGTTTGGATCTCCAGAACCTACATAAAATCTGGGCACAGAGCTTTGGCTAGATTCTTGGAATTTTGTCTAGCCAAATTAATGAACTCCAAGTTCATTGAAAGACCCAATTTCAGAGTCAAGTAAGAGAGTAAGAGAGTAATGGAGAAAGACACCTTTACTTGATCTCTGGCCTTCACATGCACATTCACAGAGTACATATCAGAAGTTTTTCTAATTGGAGGTTGAGGGATTCCTTTTTTTAAACTTTGGAGGGTCCCACTGCTATGGTAGTCTCCAGGCTTTACACATTTCTGATTTAGAGAATGCTTTTGTGAGCTAATAAATGTTCATTTTTTTTTTTTTTTTATGAGGTGACTTTCAGATGAATTCACTACTTGTGAATTACTAATGCAGAGATTTTTAAGACTCAAAATACCTACGTGGCCTTTTCTAATGTAGTCAAGATGTTTCTCCACTGCAGTCTGTAAATAAGTGGGTACTTGAAGAATTTCCTGATGATGATCCATTAGGAAAGAAACCAATCTTGAAGCAAGAAGCTCATCAAGATCGACTTCTTCAGCACAACACAGCACACACCGAGAAAAAGTATGTATCATCTACAAAAGATGTCAACATAAGAACCTAAGGTTTCACATAAATGACAAAGTCAATAATTTCCAATTTACATTACATGGTGTGTGGGAATAGTGATAGGCAGATTTCAGTTTAGAACACAATGAAATAACTTATTATAGTTATGAAGGTAAGAATTCTATTACATTATAATACTTTAAAATTTTGTTACTTATTTTATTAAAAAAGTTACAATGGAATATGTTTAACAGGTTTTTCTTTAATTTTGTTATAGTTTTATTAATAAATACCCCAAGTACTATTAATATAGATATAACCCATTAAGCCAAAAGCTGTTAGAGAACAAACACTTACTACATTAAACTTATTCCACAAAACAGGAGAATATACAACACACGGAACACATAATCAGCAGAAGCTGCAAAGTTGGCACTATTTATCTTTTGAAACTTTTGAAACTTTGGAAACCAGCAGTGATTGTTAGTGTTTAGACTGTGAGTTGATCCATTTCCATAATAAGAATTTTTGTTAACTGTGGGAGAATTCTTGCCTCAAAACTCATTGCTCTCACAGTCATATAATCTATATCTACAACACAGTAATTAGAATATTGGAATTCTATCTTAAATATTTATACATAGTACATGAAGAGCATATTTACAGATTTGAAATATTCTCCTTTAGTTCCAAGGCTCAATTCTTGGCTTTTTGTTCTTTGTCTATATTCTCCTTCTCATAGAACTCTTTTTACATATGTGACTATCATTTGAATGTATATGACTAAAAATATTCTGCCCCGATTTTGCTTCACAAGGCTTACATTTCCACAACTTTGTTGTATAAATTTCATTAGGATGCCCTAATTACTTTAAAACCAATGTAGAAAACAAAAATTATCACCTTTTCAAACATCATTCTTTACACCATTTTCTGCTAGAAAAGGTCAAGTTTTCAGGGGGTTTTTGTTTTTAACTTTTAAATCCAAGTACTTGGCACAAAATAAAAAAAAAATAATGAATTGATCTACCATACAAAACAAATAAAAACTAAGAACTTAAACTTGGTAGGATATATTCCACTACAGAATTACTAACCTGTTTTTTGTGTTTTTCATACACGGCTTTCCTTTTCTGGGGTAGTTTTGTTTTCTTTAAAGTGATTTTAAAATTATTTTATATTTTATTTTATTATTGAATGCTTTTCTAACTTAAGCATTATAAGATAAAGATATCACACAAGTAGTACTTTCAAATAGTCTCATCTTTTAGTTGATGGACCAGGGCTTAATTTTTCTATTATACCTGCCCCCCTGTGCCCTCCCCCCCCCACACACACCGAGAGAAAGAGACACACACACACACACACACACACACACACACACACAGAGAGAGAGAGAGAGAGAGAGAGAGAGAGAGAGAGAGAGAGAGAGAGAGAGAGAGAAAGCAGGATTTAGGAAACATCATAGAAAAGGTAGAGGACAAGGAGAATGAAACAGAGTCTTCTGGATATGACAAGACTAATAAATTCATAAACTCAAGAAATGGTTGCCTGCACAAGATCAAACCTATCAACATTCCAGTATTGAAGTGGAGGGACTTATAAGCCCCATCCATGGTTGAGGAGCTAGTGACAGATGATAATTACTAGAGGAGGAAGAGTCAGTTATCTTTATGGGTGTGGCCCCAGTTAGGTTAATGAAACTCCAGTGAGTGGCCTTATATCCTCGTATATATGGGCAACATAATTGAGCTCAATGAGTTATTTAAAAACGAGGATATAAAGTTGGGTGGAGGGATAGCGGAATAGGGGGGGGTGAATATGGTCCAAATACATTGTATACCTGTATGAAATTCTTGAGGAATATACAGTATATAATAGAATGAACATTATGCTAAAAATCAACTTACCAATGATCTTGTACCTATTTCATCATGAAGTTTGGGCATATCAACATTTTGACTTATTCGAGAAATCATGCGCATTAAGAGTTGAAGCTTTCTACGATTTGGTGGGGGAAGTAACAAACAACATAACTGTAGAGCATTGATGGCAACTCTTTCTAAATGAGGTTGCAGCAAACCTAGAAGGCAAAGTCACCCCCGTCCCCCAAAAAATCATCAGTGATAATAGTTTCCAAATGAATAGGATACACAGTTATATAAAGAGGGTAATGTAATATCTTAGTATTTTCCTTTTAATTAAGGGTTACAAATTTCTACATTCTTTAAAAGTACAGTAAGATAATAGCTATTGTTTTACAACCAATTTCTAAGTATTAAAAATTTTCACTTTTAAACAAAATGACACAGAATAAGTGAAATTAAAGGAAAGTAAGTGCTTTAAGTAAGGTAGAATAAACGTTGGTTATGCCACAACCAAAGTCTTTTACAAAAATTTCTTTTCAAGTTAAAAAAAAAAAAAAAAAAAAAAAAAAAAAAAAAAAAAGCAATTTCAGACCAGGAAAGCCAGGAATACAAAGCAGAGTTAGTAAACATTAAAAGTTAACATTGCGTGCATTGAAAATAGCCTTACTTTGTGTGCCAGTCAATACAGAAGCAGCTGGAAGTAAAGAATTCTCTGAAAGTTCTACTGTGCTTTTGCACAGTCTTTTATTGATTGTGGGACTAGACTCTCCGAGCTCACTTTGAACATTTGTATTGCCTTGTCCAACATTTGGTTTCATTATAATTTCAGCCACTGGTGTATTGATATATCTGTTCTGTCTTGTACTACTTCTTAAAAGCAAACTCTGAGATCTAAAAAGCTGTTTTGAATTATTTTTTCCTTTCAATAACTCCCCTTGGTCTTGCACAGTCAAAGTGGGGATTCTTTCAATACCAACACAGTATGGCTGCTGAATATTTTCTTTGGAGTGAAGATTAAATAGAGATTTCTGTTTGGGCATTGGTACTAAAGATTGTTTACTATTTTGTTCTTCTTTGTTCAGGAAAGACTGGTGGAAGATACTGGATACCTTTTTACTTGAATTCCCTGGTATATCTACAATTCCTTCCAAAGAAGAGCACCTTGGTTTGATGTTAGAGGACAGAACATGTGTATTATTTAAGTCTATTAAATTATGACAACTTCCTCCCATTATGTCATTAGCACTAGCTCTTCTGTTTCTTAAATTAACTAGCTGCATGGTCTTGGCACATCTTTCTTGAGGTCCTTGATCACTTCTTTGCAGACTCTCAGTAGAATCCAATTCTTCATTGCTTTTGTCTTTGTGAAGCAGACTGAGAAGAAGACACTCAGTTGATTTGAAGGAATTCAAATTGCTTAAATGATGGATATTTGAAGACCGTGGATCATCGTGGATTTTATATATTCCACTTGTTCTATCTGAAACTGTGATGTAGCCACAAACAACTACCAGAAAATGAAACAAAAATTAAGATGCAACTGCAAGACAGTAGACAAAAATTAACCAAAAATAGTAAAGTTAAAAAAGTAAAGCATCATTATAATATACACTGTTAGTAGAGAACACATAAAAGTTGCCTAACTTGGAAGCCACTTCAAGAGGACACATGCAGCATTCAGTTATAAACATGCAAGGGTGCCTAGTGGTTTTTCCATTTGTGATATAAATTATTTAAAAATTAATTTAGAAGCCTAATTAGAAAGATTGAATGAGTACACACTTCAAGTATTTGTTTTTAAATCCTAAACATACTTGAAACCCTTCACTTATAAGATAACTATATAGAACATATCATCATCTCAGTGTTCATGGGGAGACTAGTTCTAGAGATGTGCATGAACAAAATCTACAGATTTTTAAGTGTCCTATATAAAATAGTGTACCATGCACATAAATATAACCTAAGCATTTAAGAGAAACCCTACCTAAGACAAAACAAAACAAAAACAAAAAATTTATCAGTCAAACAAACAACAATCTCTAAATTATTTATATAACTAACACAAAGTAAACATTATGTATATATTTATCATTTAGAGAATGACAAGAAACAAAATGCTGCAAATTCTATATAGCTATGCTAAAAACATTACATTTTTTTTTATTGTGGATTAGTTGAATCCAGGGGTATGTAAACAGCACATGAAGACCAGTGACAACTGTACCTATATTTGATCTCTGTTCTTGGTTACTGGCATATAACTCCTAAAACACTTGAAATTTCCTGTGTGATCAGTCTTTATTCACGAGGAGCTATTTGAACATAAATGAGTTTGTGCTAATGTAACTCATGGCTAGCCACACATCAGCATTACCTACAACCTCTTGTGAGGTTGTACACACAGATGTCCAGGGTGTCTATACCTGGGAGGGTATAGAGACTCTGTGTCACCCCATTCCTTTCATGTGCATCTCTTCTCTTTGTCTGTTCCTGAGTTCTATCCTTGTTAAAACAAAATAACAAATGTAATCACTTTCCAGAATTTCATGAGGGAATTACAGAGGAGTTCGAATGAAACTTTTAATTGATAGTTGGCTGAGCACAAGCATGGGAGTAAAGGGAACTTAATTGTTGTCAGCACCAGAAGTAATGATAGCCTTGTGTATCTGAGGCCTTATGTCGGATCAGGGCTAACTCTAGGCATCTATGTCAGAACTACTAGAACTACATGACAGTTGATTTCAGGGCACTGGGTGTTAAAGCATACTTGAACCATTTGAACTAGTGTAATTATAGTATTACTAATTTTTAAAATAGTATATAGCCTACCACATTCATATTTATCAAGTTTTTAGACCTTTAGCTTTAAGGGAACAAAATTTTAATAGAATAAATTTAAATAATGAGTAAAATTTATACATACCCAAAATGTTCACAAATAATTCATAATATTCAAATGTAAGTAGAGGTTCAGGGAGATCTAGAAAATAATCTGCAATTGTTCTGAATACATCACGTTCAAATCCAACATAAGTTGGACTATTGGTGTCATTACTTCTTGGCCCTAAGAAGCAGAAGGCAAAAGCAATTATTTTAATTTAACACAATTAAAAGTACACATAAGTTTACAACTGTATTTCGTAAGGGAGCTATGGTTAATAATTTATGTTAAAATATATGCAATACACCAATTTAAATCTCATCTTTTCACAGGAGATTACTGTAAACAGACTCTGGCTAGTATTTTGTTCTACTATTATTTTAACACATTAAAACTATAGTAAAGAAAAATTTATGGTATTTTTAAATGCGTTCATTATTTTAATGAGAATTAAAATTGATTTTATGAAGTTATTGATTTTATGAAAACAAGAATAATAGAATGATACAAATAATCCTTCCAAACCATCTTTGTATGTCATTACTTTTATGAATAAATTTACCTTTTGAAAATTCTTAACTATTGAAATATTTTGCTATCATCACTTTATAGAGTCAATACTACTACTGAAAAAAATTATGATTATGGTCACTGTTGATATATTAAAATGATAAACTTCTATACACAGGGTAGAGTCCATCAAAAGGAACTTAAGAATTTATTTATCTAGAATTATTTGCTCTCTAATTTAATGTCTTTAAACTCTGACCTGGGATTTCTGTAAAAATCTTCTACACTAGATTCTTGGGAACATTTCCCTAGTGAATGAAATATGTACTCATATTTTAGAGTTAAAATTAACAAAATCCTTTTTTCCTGAACCAGTTTTTTGTTTGTTTGTTTCCAAATTTTTGTATGGCCATACAAGTTGTAAACATACACACTGCAAAATGATTAAATAAAAAGCAAACCACCTACACACGTAACAGTTTAAAAACTAATATTGACTTTTATGGAGACTAAACTATCTAATAATCAAAAGCAGACAGAAGATATATTTTTAATATGTAGAATATTATATAATTGTTAGTAAGTTTTCTAATATAGAAAAAACAGGTTCACTAGAAATAAAAACAAAGAATTTATAGTTAGATAGTTTAGGTTTGAGTTCTAGGTCCTTTAATTAACAAAAGGTTCTGAGAATCCTGATTTTTAACTCTGGGAAAAAAGTGTGGATAGCAATCTTAAGAATAATTTGCAAGATTATTTTTTGTATATACTAGTGGTTCTCAACCTTCCTAATGCTGCATCTCTTTAATTCAGTTCCTCATGTTGTGGTGACCCCAAATATAAAATTATTTTCACTGCTACTTCAGGACTGTAATTTTGCTGTTATGAATTGAAATGTTAATATTTTTGGAGATAGAGGTTTGACAAAGGAGTTGCGATCCATAGGTTCAGAACCACTGCTAAAGACTCTAGTTAAACACATTGCAATTAACTGAAATCCAATAAGTTATATACTTTGTTGTAATTTAGGTATAATCTGAACTGTGAAGTAAGACACAAATCCCTACAGATGGAAAATAAATGCCTCTGAGAATGCGTGTCTGTGTTGTTGACCATGAGTCACTGGAGCTCAGTACAGTTAAGCAGCAGTGAAAATATTCAAAAGTTTACGTTTAAACTTAGACTCTTTATCTTAATTCCTTGAATAAAATGTTTCTGTAACTTATTTACACAACTGCGACTTATTTTATTATTCTATAATTTTCACATACAATAAACAATATAATTTTCAACATTTATGAAATCCCATTAAATTTTTCAAAAATATTAACTTTAAAAGATCTAGAAAATAACACCTATCACTAGAATTTCTAAAACACACTTTAACTCTTGATGACTTAAAAGCATATACCTTTGCAAATTTTTAATATTTATTTTTAAAACAGTAAGAGTTTTGTAAATGAACTACTACTGTTTAAAAAGGAAAAGGTTGAAAAATAAAATGCAAAAAACTGGTTTGTATAATACTAACATAGCCTTTTCTGTTAATATACCCTATGAATAATCTATTATGGAAAATTATGGATATGGGCTTTATAAAACTTCCTTTCTGATTTACCTCTTCTACTCAAATGCTGTTTTATTTCTAAGCTGCCACCTTCAAGTCTATAGGCCTCCTTGTGGCAATTACTGTGGTTTAGAGTTTACCTAAGAGTCCTTTCAATTTCTATAAGTCTGTAAGTTTATGATTTACTTGAATAAATGACAGGTTATAACTTAAAAATAATTTTTGCACAGAAATTAAAGATCTCATGAGCAATTCTACTTGACTTCCATTTGACTCATAATTTTAAATATTTTCTTCATTCTTGTTAAACACTTTCAATATAATATAACACACACACACACACACACACACACACACTTGTGGTTTAACTTACAATTTGCTAGGCATTTCATAGCAGATAATACCCAATGTGGAAGATCCTCTAGATATTAAAATGCAAAAAACATATATTAAGTCATACAATTTTTATGATAGCATTGTTTTTTTAAAGTTATACTTGACACCAAGGGCTTTTACCAGATGAGTTATGTACTGACTTATGTACTGACTTAGGGCAGATCAATTATCTTAAAATAAAAAAGAATTGAAAAAGTTGAAAATATGACTTTGATTCTATCTATAATTCTTCTTAAACAAGTAGCTTCCCAAAATAAATAATTAATTATATGGGAAGGGGTAATTTGGACATAATCTAATTCTCATTGCTATGCTACCTGACTATTACTGATTTAGGTGAAGCCTTTGACAAAAAGTAACAATGTCTGAATACCAGGTTACTTTTACACCAAGTCCTGCTTAAAATATTCCAATTGATACCCATATCCAGTTTCCTCAACCCTAAATCTTAAGCAAAATATCTGGCACATTTTAACATGTTCTAGCTCTTGTAGACCAGGCTGGTCTTGAACTCACAGAGATCAACCTGTATCTGGCTCCCAAGTGCCGGGATTAAAGGTGTGCACCACCACTGCCTGGCACAATAATGAATTTTTGCCTACATTTTGGATACTTATCCTTGTCATTTTTTTCCAAAGTCATGCATTAATTCATGTTAACAACTAAATAATTATGATAGCAGTAATAATATTTATTTTTTAAAATTCCACTGTTATTATTAAGTGAATATAGCCTTGGAAAGAGATCTATATGTTATATCTAGGTCTCTACATTGTCCTATAAAGACATTGGTTGTAAGTTTGAAGATTACAAATTCTTTTCTAAACACCTACCTGATTTGTCTTGTAGTATAACCACTCCATGCTTACTTGTGTTGGACATGTTGTAAATTATATATTGAGGAATTACTTGGTTTGGGTTTATGAGTTCTTCTATAGATGGCACACCTAAAATGGTTTGCAGGCTAAAACGAAGAGTATGAATTTTTTTTTTAATATAAATGTGAGCATGATTTGCAACAAAGCCACCAGAGTACTTTATTTTTCTTTCAACAAAACTTAAAGGATTATATTTACTGTCTATATCTGCATACATATTCAAGAAAATTCAGAGGAATCCAATAAAACTATTAAACTACAGTGATGACTTTAATTTGAAAGATGAAACTTTTCTTATAGTGTACTAGATTTGCATCAAAATCAGTTACTAAAAGACATTTAAGCATACTTAAGTTCTAAGCTTTGAAAAGTCATGTTTTTATTCACTTGCATACATCTAGATGAAAAAATCAAACCAATAATCCACATACTTCAGAATCTTAACTATAGCTTAATTTTTGTCTTACTAGATCATAATAATATATCTCCAAACTTCTTCGACATCTTGCTGGCTTATTTCTCTGTTGTCAGCTGAGTTTTCTTGGTCTTCTTTGATTAATCTTTCACGATTTATGTTTTCTGTATTTTCCTTAAGAAAAAATATTGCTTTGGTTTGTTATGGTCTATACTTAAACTAAAGGATGGTAAACATTTTTAACACTTTATTTTTTGTTTGTTTGGTTTGATGTTTTTTTCTTTGTGAGTGTAGGACTGAAATTGACATTAGCTACCTTCCTTGCTGGATCTCTTTATTTTTTGAGGCAGGATTTTTCATAGTTAGTAACTGTATTAGTCAAGGTCTACTATGGAGTTTCAAAGTGTCTCAAAAATAGTGGGACACCTAACAATGGCTTTCAGTTTTGCACCTTTCCCAATACATCCAAATCAACTTCATGTCTAGGTACTTTATAGTTTGGTTATCATTATAAAAGACTAGTGGCAGAGAAAAGTTGAAGAGTTATATAATTATGTGGCTATTGTTTAGATAATGAATATACTGCAAATGACCCATACTGAAGTCTTAATCTCTAACCTGGTCCAACTAGGTGGTGCAATGTTTAAAAGGCAAGGCAGGTACAAAAGTTGAATCATAGGCAGAAGGCTTTTGGGACAACTATTGGCACCCAATCCAGGGTCCTCTGACATCTTTTCCCAAAAGTAGCTTCTTCCTTCACATGCTCTTATTATGATTGTAGTGCTTTGTCATTAGATCAAAAGTAACACAGACTAGAGAATATAGACCGAAACTTCTGAAATTTAAGGTTTAGTTTGCCTTCTTGGTGAATGATTCTCAGGTATTTTAACACAGTGGTTGAAATCTGATTAACACATCAAATAGGAGAATAGCAAATGACAAAATATGAAATTATAACATCCTTTTTATTTTTACCTTATTATTGTATTCAACACTGTTTCTGCAGGTCCCAAACATATTCACTTATAATTCTTTAATGTTGTAATGTGGGAAATTTCAGTATTGGCTTCAAATATTAAAGAATAATTTACTTTCAATGATTTCATTATTAAACACATGGTAATACTATTTAGAGTACTGGTTAATAAAAGGATATTTTACCTGAGAGAAAAGTAATCCACGCTTCTTAGGAGTTTTACGAGTCATGTTTCGTAATTTAAAAATACTGTCTTTATCTTTGGAAAAGTACTCTGTGCTTGTTTTCCTGATTTCTGTATGTCTTGGTGGAAGAGTTTTAAGTGGAGAAGTTGCAGGAAATCTGGTTTGAAAATAATATGGAGTTAAATAGGATGTGATAAAAAAATGAACTTTTAGAGTATATTTGAAAAGTCAAACAAAGAATCTGATTTACTTACATTATCAAGTAATGAAGAGTCTAGATAAGTCAATATTACCACTAAACCTTTCAAGTATTTTAGTAGTTTCTTGCTCTCTTTAATATACTGTGCACATTTCAGTTTTGTTTGTGTACAGTGCAGGACTACAGTCAGGATTAGTTTGGTTAAAGAGGTAATGCTTATATACAAATAGCTTTAGAATACTGTTTTATAAATCTCTGAGGAAAAAGAAATGGGCAGTGGTGGCACACACCTTTAATCCCAGCACGCAGGAGGCAGAGGCAGGCCTGTGGGTTCAAGGTCAGCTTGGTGGACAGAACAAGTTCCAGGACAGCCAAGGCTACATAGAGAAAACCTGCCTCAAAACAAAAAACAAACAAACAACAACAACAAAACAAACAAAAAACAAGACAAAAAAAAAAAAAAAAAAAGAAAAGAAAAAAAAAAATCAAGGTTTGGATGTACATCCAGGTTTTTAAAATTCGTTCCAGTTTTAGGACTTAGTCTCTTGCTTCTTTTGATTTATGATTCATTTTGTTTTTATCTAAATATGAAATATTTCAATGATACAAATAAGAACAGAATATGATGCATTTATGTAACCATCAAGCAATATAATTGTTGATATTTTACCAAATAGTTGTCCTTTATGTACATATAAGAAAATCCTTCTCTATTTAAATTCTTAACCCTCTCCTAAGGGAAGTCATAAACTTAGCTTGTTTTTTTTTTAATGTGTTTAGGCTTTCAATAAACATGGAGACTGTAAAAGCAAGGAACACCTGGAAAAGTGTTGTACAAACTTAAGAAACAACAGATTTCAGCCCAGAGTATTATACCATGCAAAGCTTTTTATCACATCAGATGGAGAAAGACATTCCATGATAAAACCAAATTTAAACAGTGACTACTTATAAATTCAGCCCTATAAAGGGCACTAGAAGGAAACCTCAAACTGAAGAATCTAACCATACCCAAGAAAACATAAACATTAAATATCAGATTAGCAAATTAAAAAGGACATTGGGGGGTACATTTTGACAACAAATTAGAGGAATCAAGAAACACTGCTCGTTGATAATACAACATCAATGGACTCAATTCTGGGGGGAAAACACGGGATTCAAAAACAGAGTCTGTCCTGCTTCATGCATAAAACACACTTTCCCATTAAGGATATACATCACCTCAGGGTGGAAGGATAGAATAAGATATTCCACGGTAGCCATTTTAATATCTGATGAAATAGACATCAAACCAAAACTAATCATAAGTGATAGGGAAGGCCATCAAAGAAAAAAAATATCCACCAAAAGGATATTACAATTGTTAACATCTATACATCAAACACAAAGGGACTGTCTTATTTAGAGTTTCTATGTGCTGTAATGGCATGACCAAAAAGCAAGTTGGTGAGTAAAAGGTTTATTTCCCTTATACTTTGACAGTGCTGTTCATTATTGAAAGAAGTTAGAACAGTGATGGGAGATGTCATTCTGTAAATATGTTTCTCATACTGGTTAATGAATAAAGCACTGTTGGCCAATAGGAAAGCAAGATAGGCGGGACTAGGAGACAAAGAGGAGAAAGGAAGGAGTAAGGATGAGTCAAGATGGAGAGAGGGGGGAGAGCAGACTCTCTGGTAAGATGAGACCACGTGAAAATACTTACATTAATAAAAATGGGTTAATAATTAAGATAGAGCTAGCCAATAAGAAACTAGAACCTGGCCAACAGCATTATATCAATTACAGCGTCTCTGTGTGTTATTTGAAGCTGGCGTAGCTGTGGGATCAGTGGGGGGAAAAACCTTACTGACAACAGAACAGGAACTCACCCTTGGCAGGATCCTAGAGTTAGGAGCTAGTGCAGAGGCCAAGGAGGAGCACTTCTTACTGGCTTGCTTCCCCTGGCTTGCCCAGCCTTCTTTCTTATACAATCCAGGATCACCAGCCCAGGCATAGCACCATCCACTATGGGCTGGGCCCTTACCCATTGATCACCAATTGAGAAAATACCTTACAGGTAGATCTCATGGAGGCATTTCTTCAACTGAGACTCCTTCCTCCTTGATGACGCTAAATTGTGTCAAGTTGGCACACAAAACTAGCCAATACAGAACCCAAGTTCATGAAATATAGAGAAATTCAAATCATTTTCACTAAAATTCATTCTAGCTAAAGCAATAAGACAACAAAAGGAGATCAAGGGGATACAAATTGGGAAGGAAGAAGTCAAACTGTCAGTATTTGCAGATTTACATAAGTGACCCAAAAAACTCTACCAGGGAACTCCTACAGCTAATAAACACATGCAGCAAATTAGCAGGATTTAAGATTAACTAAAAAAGAAGAAGAAGAAGAAAAAAAAAAATAGTCCTACTATATAAAGACAACAAAGAAATCAGAGAAACATTACCCTTTACAATAGCCACAAACAACACAAAGTATCCTGGAGTAACATTTACCAAACAAGTGAAAGACCTACATAGCAAGAACTTTGTGTCTTTAAAGAAAGAAATTAAAGAAGATACCAAAATATGGAAAGATCTCCCATGCACTTGGATAGGTAGGATAAATAAAATAAAAATAGCAATCCTGCCGAAAGCAATCTACAAATTCAATACAATTCCCATCAAAATCCCAGCACAATTCTTCACTGACCTTGAAAGGATAATAATCAACTTTATATGGAAATACAAAAGACCCAGGATAGCCAAAACAACCCTGTACAATAAAGAAACTTCAGGAGGCATCACCATTCCTGACTTTAAGTTCTACTATAGAGCTACAGTCCTGAAAACAGCTTGGTTTTGGCACAAAAATAGAAAGTTAGACCATGGAATCATGCCAAAAGTCCTGTATTAACCCACACACCTATGAACATCTGATTTTTGACAAAACAGCTAAAATTATACAATGAAAGGAGGAAAGCATCTTCAATAAATGGTGCTAGCACAATTGGATGGTGGTGTGTAGAAGACTTCATATAGACCCATGTCTGTCGCCATGCACAAAACTCAAGTCCAAATGGATGAAAGACCTCAACATGAATCCAGCCACACTGAACTTCTTAGAAGAGAAAGTGGGAGGTACCCTTGAACAAATTGGTACAAGAGACTGCTTCTTGAACATAACACCAGTAGCACAGACTCTGAGATGGATAATTAATAAACAACAAATGTGGAGCTACAATTTCAGTTTTTTCTTATTATTTTTGTTTGTTTTTGATTACATGACTTCGCCCTTCCCTATCTCCCACCAAAAACCTTCCCATGTAACTAACCCTCCTTGCTCTCTCAAATACTTGCTTAGTTCATATGAAGTTACTTGTATATGTATAATTTTAGGGATGACCACTTGTATTGGACAACTATTTTGGGGCTCTTTACCAGGGAAGACTATTCCTCTTAAGTGAAATGCTGGGAGCAGAAGTAATTAGATTTTTATAATGATGTATCTATCTATTCAGTACCTGAATAGTTGATTGTTGTCATCGAGGTTTTCTGATCCCCATCTACCTTTGATATCTTCAATCACATGATTTTTAAGAAATTTTCTCAATAGTTGAACAGTCTGTTGTCTTGTAACTTCAGGGCCAAAATTACTATTACTTCTTAATAGATCATAAAGCCAATCAACTGCTTCTCCTGAAGTGAAACAATTGCTATATTTTTTTAAATGTTGTCTATGTTTCCTTAAAGGCATTCCTACTCGAAAAGATGTGGTTACTTCATTCCACTGTGAAGAGAAGAAAAATATTGTTCAAAAAAATTATAGCATAAGAAGAAATCTCATTGACCTTGGTATGTATCCAGTGATAAGTTAGTTTGGGCTACATGATGCCCTATCTCAAAATAAACAAAAGGAATAAAGAAAATCATTAGCAATAAAAATTATTTACTTCACAGATGATTATGCTGTAAATGTTCTTGAAGAAATCATCTTACCTGTGCTATTTAAAATCTTATATCTAGCTGATTTATTATGTATTCTAGAGTAAAAGTAATACTTTCTTGTAATAGGCTCTTTTGCTATACATTCATTGGGTTTCTCACATAGGGAATTTGAAAATGAAAAAAAAAAACTGTACTGTTTTTTAGTCCTTGATAAAGCATTTACTGGGCCTTTTCAAACTCTAACATTAATAATATGCTTTATATTCATTATTTAATTGTAAATCCCACACTTTTGAAGTTACTATTATCTTATTTTTCATATAAGGAAAAAGAAGCACAGATTGATAACTTTATATATAAATCATGGTTCTCAACCTTCCTAATTTTGTGAACCTTTAATACAGTTCCTTGTGGTGAATCCCAACCATAAATTTATTACATTGCTACTTTTATAATTAACTTGCTACTGTTATAAATTATAATGTGAATATAATGAAATGCAGGATATCTGATATGTGACCCCTAGGGTCACACCCATAGGTTGAGAACCACTGATCTAAATTATTAACACAAGCATTTAAATTCAGATTTAAATGGACCTGGTGATGGAGGCCTGCAATTTCAGAGGCTGAAACATGAGGCTTGCTATGTTCAGGTTAAAGATGGGCTACAGAGTTAAAAGGCAGCCTGAACAGCTTAGTGAAACCCTGACCCAAAATTAAAAGTAGAAATGATGCTATAAGTTCTTATCACAAAATAAAATCCAAACAAACAATAGCAATAAAAGACTAGGCTTAACCAACTTTGTTTGGATATGTAAGCAATTATTTTACTAGTCAAATAAAACTTCTGGCATGCAACAGTAATAATGGCAAAATACTTTTAATGCCAGGCATGTAATACAGTATTTCTTATGAATGGAGATCTCTGTACTGCTTGGGATAGTGACAAACACTGGGGATCTCTCTGAATTCAAGGTCAGCCTGGTCTGTATGGTGAGTACCAAGACAGTCAGGACCACATAGAAAGAGCTGTCTTAAAATAAATAAATAAATAAATCAATACATTAATGTCAAAACCGTTATAATGAACACAGAATATAAAGCAATAACATTAATTAGTAAAAATAAATTCACTGTACATTTAATGAATCTATGCATTTAAAAAACACTTTCTGAACTACCCTCAATCAGTCAAATGTCTAGATTTCAGACAATAACACTAGAATGTAAAGGTGGTGATGTAGAATGAATACATCATGCTGTAATAGAAAAGAGACATGTGTTAGAAATCAGATCAATAACCTGATTTATGAGACTATTAACCATGTTACTACTGTGTCATATGTCTAACCCTGGCATCCTAACACTGACCCTACTGCTGAAAAACAGTAACTGCATTTTTCTTCCCTCAGCTCCCCATTGCTTACATTCAAGAAACTTTACTGAACTGCTTTACTACCCTGAGTATATAATAGTAAAGTGACATGAGACTCTTCACTCAAAAACACCAGAGAACAGTTTTGAAATGCAGTGGATTTATAGAGTGAAACATTTAGTATTTGTTTAGGCTTTCCTTCTTTGTTTATGAATCTTTGTTCTTCTCTGTACCTCAATATCTTTATACTATTATCTGCCTTGTGGTAATAAAAAAAGGCTTACTTTATGTAAGTATTTATAAGTACTTGGTGACTTTTTTTTTAAGTGTACTTGTATTACTTTCATCTAAGATAGTACATTTTTAACGTGGGGAGAAGACTAAGTCATTAAGGTACCTTTCAGCATTAAATTCTATCGTTTGTTTTGAAAAGCATAACCCCCAACTGCTTGTTGAGTAGTAGAATGTGTCTTCTGGAGAGTCCCTTCTTTGAGCCTTGGTTTCCACACTGATGAAGTAGGACAGGTATTTGAGAGAGGATAACTTGCTTAGTATTCTATAGACTACCACACACTTTCATTTACAGTATATTTTTAGGAAACGTCTTAAAGTGGGTATGTATTACAGGCCCATTGTACCAATGTGGAAACTGAGGTTAGGTGAATCTTTTAATGTCACATAACATACTATTCTGCAGGGTAAGAAATGCAAATGCACAGCCCTGGTGACCACCCTCAATGGTTACTAAAAGTATTCCGGGTTTAGTTTCAACAGTTCTTTCTTCGTACCCAGTTAGCATACATATCCCACAACAAATTTTACAGAGCCAACATGCCAAATTGCCATGCATGCCTCGCTTCCAGTTTGAAACGTTAATTTCTAATTCTGAGAGTGGTATGAGAAGACACCTGAGGAGCTGTCCCGCAGAGTGACAAAGCGGTGCAGCTTTGGGGAAAAGCACTTCGGATCTGTCGCTGAGAAACCAGAATGGAGAGCAACTAAAAAGGAGGAGTCTACCTCAGTACCTTTCTCAGGAAGCGAGGCGCCCTGGGTCCCTCAGGATGCCACTCCCTGGCGAGCCCCTCATGCACCCGGGTGCCCAGGGTCCCGGTCCCCTGTCCTCCAGCAGCTCGTCCACGCTCTTACCAGCTTGGTGGCCCGGTAAGGCCCCAGAGGAGCACTCCGATCCTCCATGCTGTCAGCGATGGGCAGAGTCCATGGAACACGGAGCCCGGGTCGGTGTCTGAACAACTGCCGCGCTGCTGATTTGAATATCTCGGAGCGGAGCCGATTGGTGGGGCCACCGAGTCACGTGACGCCGCACGCCGGGGTGGGGTGGGGTGGGGGATGGGAGGAGGCGCTCGGAGGGGGGGATCTCTGTGTAGGTGGGTGGTGCAGGCTTCCTCAGGTCAGTTGCTGTGTTGCTTAAGAGAACTGGGCGCACCAGACCTAAAGGGATTGATTGTGCACCTCACGAACAGCACGAGGCGAAACGATTCTCCCTTCCTCATTCAGATTTGCAGGTCAAAGCAGGCGGGGCTTTACCGGGACACTGCACCTAAAAGGCTGCCTCTGTGTGTGCTGGTTTCCTTTCCACTTCCCTCCCTGTCTTTCTTGCACACGGTTAGGGTCTACGTGAAAATACATGTCAGCTGCATTTCGTCTTCTTCCATGACTTGTATAGAGCACAAGCAAATCTTCCCATAAAAATTGTCTTTCTTAAGAAAATCGACCGCTATGTCCTTAGAAGACCCTGTCTGTGCTTAAATCATGATCGCACACTTAAAACCAATACCGGGACCTTTAAAAATCAATGATCAATGGAGTACAGGTTTTTAATGTATTTCCTTATAATATTCTGAATTTCTTTTGTGTGTTTTAATGTTTCCCTGTCATCTCTGATTCTGTTAATTAGGATCTTCTCATTCTTGCTTTTGGTTAATTGACATAAAGGTCTGTCATTGTTTATCTACTCAAAGAATCAGCTGCTAGATTCATTAACTGTTTTCTTTGTTACTGTTTTACTAATTTATACTCTGATTTTATTATTTCTTCCTGTATACTAGACTTGGGTTTGGTTTATAATTTTTTCCAATTTCTTAAGTTGAATCAATAAATCACTTATTTGCACACATTCTGATTTTTTACTGTAGGAAGGTAGAGTCATAAATTTCCCTGTTAAGGTTGTTTTTAATATGTCCCAGATGTATTTTTAATATGCAATATGTGTTTTCATTTTTAGCTTAGTTACATGTTTAAATTTTTTTCTTGATCTCTTCTTTGACTCATTGATCTTTTGATAATATACTGTCTCTATGAGTTTGTGTAATTATTAAAGATTCATTCATTATTGATTTTAAGTTTTAGGGCATTGAGGTCAGATAGTATACAAGCAGTTATTTTTTTTTCTGAATTTGTTAGTAATTGTTTTGTGTCCTAGTATATGGCCTATTTTATGGAGTTTACCATGGGATTCTTTGGTGTTTCGCATGAAATATTCTACTGATGAATGGTAGGTCCATTTGATGTATGATGGTATTTAATTCTGACTTTTCTCTGTTTATTTGTCAAGAAGATCTGTTTTTCAAAGGACTGTTAGAATCAATTAAGAAAATCCCTGAGAAAAAAACATATACTTTAAACTGATAAATTCTTATCTTTAATTGCATCTTATAGAATTCCTTGAGTGCCTATGTATATGCCATGTTAGCTATGGTTACATTACTGAAATGTAGTCAGTAATTCTTTACCAGCTTCCTGTCCCATTCTATTTTTTAGATACTTTTATACAAGAAAAAAAGAATCAGAAGCTATTTAACTTGATTAAACTAATCACAGCTTTCTTCATGCTTTTCCTCTATTACAATTTAGCTAAACTGCATTATTTAATGAAGACATGAATACTGTACAAGTAATATACGTTTATCTAGAATACCACAGTGTGAATTTAATTTTCATCTATGATTTTAAAAGTTAATATATTTGCCACATGGTGGTAGTGTTGCTTCTTTTGTTAAGACACAAAAATAGATTTCAGATGCTAGTTTTTAAATATATATATATATATATGTTATGCTATAACATAATAATAATAATGCTAAGTCCAAGGAGATATAACAATAAAGCATTAGTTTCCCAAAGAAGAGAGACCCTTGTTTATTTTTGCTAATTTTAAAAAGCCAGAAATATTGATGCCAATGTTTCCTGAAAAGTGCAATTTCTTTAGTTGCCCATTGTCAACTCCTATCGTACATAGGGAATCTTGTTTTAAGCCTCATCTTTCAAATTACTGTATCATTTAATTAGCTTGACTATTATAAGTTGTTTCCTCCTAAGTACAAGTGCATGCATTTATCTTAAAGAAAAAAGTTAAATGATACTTATATTGGTTACATTCCATGGTCATTTCTTGAAGAAAATTTAGGATCAGTAGCTCACTTGGAAGTTGTCTGGTGTAATCCTCTGCTCTCATAGAGAATTTTCTGCTTCACCCTCAGGGAATCTCTGGTACCATACGGCCCCCAGAAAAGGGACCTGTTTGTTTTTATGCTCAGCAATATGGAACTTTGCTTGAACACTACATAGCTCCATTTTCCTGAATTAAAGCACTTTCATTTGTCTGGAGGTAATTTTCTTGTTCCAAATTATGGGACGGCATTGTTGGCTGCTTTTATTCGGTCACAACGTGTCTCACAGCTCCAAAAAGAGTGACAGTAAGAGCAAGTACATTTGCATTTGTATATCTGTATTCAACAAGTCGTAAATTGTTAGTTTTCTCATACCAACCATAGACTTACTGAACTACAGAAAAGTGGGATTTCTGGTTACTTTGCTTTCAGAAGTACACTTTTCAATAACAATTCTACCACAAGCAGATTTAGAAGAGAAAATAAATCCCTCTGCCACCTTTTGTCAGCCAGCTTTTTGCCAGGGTGGTGAAACAGCTAATCAAGGTATTTAGAAAGAAGATAGGAATTTAGCTCACAGATATGAATCAAGAACAAGATGTTGGAATCTGCTTGTGCTTTTAGCCATGTTATATCCTTATAGCATCGGTAGTGGGGGGAACTGTACACCACAATGAGACAACAGGGAGAGCTGGCAAGGGTCAAACTATGCTTTTACTATTCTCATGAGTACTATCTATCAATTAGTCCTGTAAGAGATAAATTATGGAGGCACATGTTTAATAGCCTGCAGTTATGGGGGATGTTCTTCTGTATGCTGTGAATATATGTTTGTCTTACTAGTTGATGAATTAGGATGCTTTGGCCAATGGACGGGCAGGTTGTAGCCAGGCAGGAAGCATAGATGGGGCTACCAGACTAGGAGAATGATAGGGAGAGTGCAGAGAAGGAGTGGCTAGAGAGATGACAGGGAAGAAAGAGGCCTGGGAATTCCAGTAAGCCAAAATGACACAGAGATCATAGACTAATAGATATGGGTTAAAATGAGAGAGCTATCTAATAACAAGCCTGAACCATCAGCCAAGCAGTTTATAATTAATATTAGCCTCTGTTTGTTTATTTGGAACTAAATGGCTGCAGGGCCAGGTGGGACAGAAACTCCCATTTTTACTGAAGACCTCCCACTGTATTCTACCTCAGAAAGTTTTAATTGCCTCCAAATAACAAGTAGCTCTGAGAATGACATCTTCAGTCTCTGTCATTCCTGGAGAGTAGTATGAATAACTTTCACTTAATTAGAAGTGTGTCCACTAGACACAAGGTGTCATATTTTACATAATGACTGTTTTATCTGCCGAGAAAGGGCTTTGAGTAAATAAGGAAACACCAAACTTCCCAAGATGATGCCCTCTCCCTCAAAGGACTCATTATTGCAAAACATATGCAAATACATTTGGAGTAGCCCCAACGTATACATATGGCTCAATTTTTTCATTTGTGCACATTCACTGTACAAGCAATCATTTTCATAATGACATTATCACCCGGGTATATCATACACTTTCATCATATTTACACACATTCATTGTGTTCTCCTGTCCTAGAAAGCTTCTTCTTCATCCCAATAACTTTCATGTAATTGATCCTAAGTGCAAAAGCTGATCTTAACTACTTGGAAACACAAGAGTATTGACTATATATGACTAACAACTTAACTGAGAATTATATAATTTTTTGTAGACTTAATTTTAATATTCTATGATAGCAACATTTGATTCACTTTTCTATAACAAACTATTTATCTGATGGTAATTATTTTTTATTTAAAAATCATTTTTCATTTAACATACTAATCCCAGTTACCCCTCCATTCCCTTCTACTGCCCCCCACATCCCCCTTCCTATCCTCATCCATTCCTCAAAGAGGGTAATGTCTTTTTTGGGGAGTCAACAAAGTCTGGCATGCCAGTTTGAGTCAGGACCAAGCTTCTACCTCCTGTATCAAGGCTGAACAAGGTATCCCACCATAAGGAATGGGTGCAACAAGTTAGTTCATACACCTGAGATAACTTCTGGTGCCACTGCCAGCCCCACAACAGATCAGGTCACATAACTGTTACCCACATTCAGAGGGTCTAGTTAAGTTCCATGCAGCTGTTGGCCACAGTGTGTGAGCTGCCACTAGCTCTGGTCAAATGTCTCTGTGGTTTTTCCCATCATGCTCTTTACCCACCTTGTTCATATGATCCCTCTTCCCTCTCTTTAATTGAACTCCCAGAGCTCAATCTCAAGCTTTGCTGTGGGTGAATGCATCTGCTTCCATAAGTTACTGAGTGTAGGTTCTATGATGACAATTAGGGTATTCACTAATCTGATTAAAGGGGATACCCTCTCAACTATTTGCTTGGAGTCTTATTTGGGGTCATCCTTGTAGATTCGTGAGGATTTCTCTACCACCAGGTTTCTCCCTAACCCTATAATGACCCCCTCTATCTGGAAACAAGCTAAATACCCATCAACTGAAGAATACGTAAAGAAAATGTAGTACATTTACACAATGGAGTATTACTCAGAGTTAAAAAACAATGACTTCTTAAAATTTGAAAGTAGATGGATGGAACTGGAGAAATACTGACTAAGGTAATCCAAACACAGAAAGACAAACATAGTATGTATTCACTCACAAGTGTATATTAGATGTAAAGTATAGGATTACCAGGCTACAATCCATAACCCCAAAGAAACTAGGTAAAAGTGGGGGAACCTTATGATAAGTGCATATGGAGGACCCCAGGAAGGGAAAATAGTT